AAAGTAAATAATATTAAATTTATCGTAATAAAAATATTATTTATTAAAAAAAATACAGTTTAAAAAATACTTGTTATTGAAAGCACGTGGCTTTTTATTATTATTATTATTATTATTTTAAGTTTGTGAGTTCAAATTCAACTTTGCAAATAATCTTGAGAATATTCTATTTATAAAAAAAAAAAAATTTAAGTTTGTTTGGAATATAAACATAGAACATACGGTGGTGGGTGGGTGCGACATCATATCATTCAATCCCCAATTAACAAAGAATAAGAAAGAAAAAAAAGCCTCTGAAAACCAAACAGCAAACACAACAACAATACCGTAGAAATCAATAAAAATGCGGGCACACGTTTTGTCTCTCTCCGCCAACACCACTTTACTTCGCCAAGCTCTTCCTGTTTTGGTTCGACCTTACAACAAATCCACCCTTCTCTTTCCAACCACCGCTCCTAATCGCATATCTTTCCTCAGATCCACTTCACAAACTGCTCTTTTTCGAGATATTTCTTCTATTCCCAAACGTCACGATACACTATTATTCACAACCACTTCTCTTCGCAAGTTTACTTCACGCGCCACTCATGTCAACGATGCTGGTTCCTTTGATTTGCCTCTCATTCAGTCTATGCAGAACAAGGTATCGTTTCCCTTGCTTTCTTGTTAGTACTATGAATACGATGTTCTGTTTTTATTGTCCGGCACATGTTTGATGAATTGCTAGCTACTTTTTTATATGATTGGGATAAAATTGTCTTACAATTTCTGAGGACAAATATTTTAGTTTTTTTTTTGGGTCTATTTCATGCTGATTTCTTTCTTACTTTTTGAATGTAAATTTGCATCGTGCTCCAAAAGATAAAGGAGCAACTCAATGCAGAATCAGTTTCGGTAAAGGATGCTTATGGTGATGGACGACATGTTAGGTGAGCATACTTTAAACTATTGAAATGAATCTCGATTTTATTATGTCAACTAACTGTCGTCTGTGTCAGAGAAAGTCGATTAGACAATAAAATCTTCAAAATTTTCAGACAATTCAAAATCTGTTTGATATTTCATGTATGATATGATAGTTAAAACATAAGCAGATTTGAAATGTCTATTATTATATTACATTGCATTTACGTATGATTGTCAGAAGTTTTTGTATATATAATCGTCAAGATAATATTATATGATTCAATGGTTGAATTGGATAAGTGTAAATTCTAGGAAATGATATTGTATTAGTTTATTTTAAGGTCACTTTCCCATGGATGACTGAAGGTGAAACTTTAAATTTTTCTAATTTCTTCAACACACAACATTAGTTGTGACATTCAAGGTATAATTAACCTAGTTCAATACTATTACATTTGGACTTAGAGTTTGATGCTTTGATGAAAATATTCTATTACCTAAAAGAATAAACTTTGTGAGAGAAGAAAGGGAAAGGGAGGGGGAGGATAAACCGATAAAATATCCTCAAAACAGAGAGACTGAATGTCAGCAAAGTGATAGGAGGCTATAGTTCAAAAAACAAATAAATCTAATATCTATCTCCCTTAAAACAGAACATGCAGAGTGAACTAGAAAATCTATTAGTGCAATATTACCACATAACATATTTAGTGGGTGAAAGACAAAATAAGTCCTTGAAGAAGCAGGCTATATCAGTGTTACCAAATATCAGTTATGGCGGTGCTATCTCGGATATAAGTTGCGGTTTTTGAGTTTGCTGCAATGGTAAATATCAGCCGCAATTGTGGGTTTTTCTGTCATAGTCTGCTATGACAGTGCCACCCAGCGGCCTGTATTGTGGGATTTTTGCTCTCCGCCATGGACCATCATCAGCCATAGGCAACACTGGGCTGTATGCCCTTCTCATCCACAGTCAACACCAGTTTGGAGATGTGCTCGCATGACCTGCACTGTTTTGATGGAGCATGGGGCAAGCAGTCTTATTTAGATGAAAGTTTTCAGTTGTTTGGTTTGTTAATGGTAGTTAGCACACGATGATTGATAGAAAATCTTCTGTGCAGACATACAATTTCTAGCATTGAAATGAGCAGAGATATTAGCACCCTTTGTAGGAAGTAAAACCAAAAGTAGAAAAAAATTGTTCAATGTAAAAACTGCCTTTGAAAATGCTGTGCATAGGCTAAGTTAACCAAAACACCACTTAGTTTGAGAAACTTGACACTAATAATACATGCTTATATAGAAAGAGTGGATTGAAGTCACAGTATCAGTACCAGGAAAAATAATATTTGCCAAACATGTTAAAAAATGCCTTTGAAAATGCTATGCCTGACCTAAAGAGAATAGTAAATAAAGATCAAATTTTGTAGAAATGAAAATAAAAAATCAAAACTAGAACAAAATGGCCTAGGAGAATCTGTAATAGGGTAGGCCAAAACAGTCCTCAAAAAATCGTCGCTGGTAAAAAAACGTAGGGTATCCCACCACCTAAGTTCCGATATGATGTGACCACGATTTGCTAATTTGACTGCATAGTTATTCTCCTCTCTGGATATATGGGAATAAATTAAATTTATGTCCAAAGCCTTGTAATTTTTCCTTCTATTTCTGAGGCACCAAGGCATTAACTCATTCTGATTAAGGCCATTAATGCACCTTGTGAACCACTTTCTCTACTCAAACATAAACATTTCTGCACCCTCTTTCGTGTGCCTGTTCAATGGCGATTATCATAGCCAGGATTTCAACTTGATGAATGATGCTGCTCCCATATTGCAAAAGAAGCTGCCCAAATATCTGGCCAAGTGGTCTCGAGCTATTGCTCCGGCCACCGCTCGAGTGCCCTTTGCCAATCCATATACTAGACTAGATTTAATCTTTCTTCCAATAAAAAGTGTTTACTGATCTAATAACAAGGGCACATGAGGACTCTCAATGGCCTCAAATCCTTACTCAGGAATGACTCGATTTCCATATCGCAAGCTTCAATGGTGCCCTCGACAACCCGAAGTCAAAGCTTAATGTAGACTATTAATTAACCAACTAGAAAATAAACTTATGTTGTAGAAATGAAAATGCTACCATGGATGAGGGAATACTCAGACATGGTAGTACTAAGAATGAAAGCATTAAAAACAAAGTTTGTATAAAAGAGAGTGATGTGAGGTATGAACCAATAGTATGAGATAGAGAGGAACCAACAGTATGAGATAGAGAGGAACCAATAAAAACCATTAAGAAGGATTTATATATAAATTCTTTGTAATAAGACATTTTATATTTGTTTGATCCTTGTTGCTCACTTCGCCAAGTGTGAGAAGACTGTCGTTGTGTTAAATCTACAGTATACAAAATTAATTCCTCAAGTTTGACTGAATGAATATGTTTTATAATTGGTCATTTGAACTGACAAAACTACGAACAGTATCTGTTGGAAGTATCTTCTCATAAAATAACAATCACCTTAATATGAACACGTTTTAAATCCTCATTGATAAAAGTTATCCTTGAGGCATGGTTCCATGTTTTGCATTATGTCTTGCATTAATATTTGTGTTTGACGCTCTAGACTGCATATATTTGTTGATAGCTCTAACTTTTATTTGTTTTGCAGCATTGATGTTATCTCTACAGCCTTCGAGGGAGAATCAGCCGTGAATAGGCAAAGGATGGTCTATAAAGCCATATGGGAGGAGCTTCAGAGTGCAGTTCACGCTGTTGACCAGATGACGACCCAAACTCCTGCTGAAGCAGCCGGGAAATGATAAAAGATCACAAGAACATTAAAGACAATGAACTAGGAGTGATTGTGATCTTAATAGATGTTTGTACCGCTGTAGTCTTGGAATGGATTTCTATTGCATTGTGTTCACATGCAAATGCAAGACATCAGTTTTCTAATTCACTCTCTGGGAGTTGCTAAATTCATTAAATTGCCAAACAATACACCTGGCAAATTAATTTATCAAATATTATGCAGCCATGTTCTGCGGGTTGTTTATTCTTTCTAGTTTAGCCCCTATTTACATTCTCAATTTTGTTTTCATTTCTAAAATAAATGACAGAAATAATGTGCTTGTTTAATTCTTTTCACTGAAATTCAAAGAATATTTGAAATGTCATTTTCTTAATTTTTTTAGAATGTCACCGTAATTTAAACTCCATATTTGATGGAAAGTAAAAATATGTAGTGAGTTCAATTTCATTTTTAATCACAGTAAGTAACGCATGTATAAAATGAAATTGATTCAATTTCATTTTGAATCGCAATAAGAATCACTTGTTACCCACTCCTCTGACCTTACAATAGTCAAGTACTACATCTATAGTGTTTTTTTAGATTGTTGCTTCAAAATCGTTCGTAGCTTTCTACAATCTTATGGGGCGGCTTCTGTAACTGGATAACCAGGACTGATAACTGTCATTACATGTCAATAAATCAGACTCAAGACAAGAAATTAGTAACTCAGAAAAGGAAGCTTGGAATGATTATGGTAACTAATGTTTTGCTTCTAAATAGCATTGTAGTGAACAGGAAAGCAATGTATTGCAAGAATATAAGTGTTATTGCCTTTAATCACTGCATTTATCAATAACTGGTGTCATGAATGGAATTAACAACAGTGGAATTAACAACAGAATACAAAAACTTATTCCTAGGAAGGGAAAAGAGGACTAAGAGCATCCCCAGTCATTTTAAAACATTTTAAAACAGAGGGAATACTTCTCTAATTATAGTCCACTATAGTTGTAGTATACTCTAGTATCTCTAAGCTATGGTACAATTCATATAGAATGATTAAAAAAAAAACATCGTCAAGTTACAATTATTGTGGAAGTTTTGTTCTATAATTTTCATGCATGAATATTACTTGATACACACATTTTGAATTTATAAATTGCTATACAAGTATAATAGTATTGACAGTATAAACCAGCCTATGAATTAATACCCCCCAAAAAATAAAAATCTTCTTAAACAATTGCTTATAAGTACTTCTAAGTTTGTTCATGCCACTGTTACAAATGTAGCACTAATCAACAAAGGGTAATATCGGATTCATCCCAAGCCCTAACCCTCCTCCAAAACTATCTGGTTCAACATGCTTCACCCTACCAAAGTGTCGAATATGGCGCATGAGTCTTGCTAGGAACGTATTGTGGCATATAGTTGAGCTGTCACATACTACAGCTAAATGTTTGCGCGCTCTTGTGATGGCAACATTAATTCTTCTGCTATCGCCGAGGAATCCAACAGCTCCCAATGTGTTTGATCGTACCTATTTTATTATATTTTTCGAAAAAAAAAAAAAGAGGAAAACAAATCCGAATATGTTAGTTCATCAGCAAGACCAATAGTGAATATGGTTATAATAAAAAATGAAATATAAATCAAATTTTGTTTATATAAGTTATAAGTTGTTTTTAGAAGCTATCTTAAACAGCTTATTGAAATAACACTGAAAACAACTTATGGAATTGTTGAAACTGTGGTTGTAGAGATTGGATTCGGATCTTACCATTGATAAAATTACAGCATCAGCTTCGCGGCCTTGATAGCTATCAATTGTGGAAACTTCTGTACCTGCAGCTTCTGGAACTCCATCAAGCATGTCCCTCAAAAGTTGAACTTGAGCAACATAAGGGGATTGAACTACAATAGCTTTTGGGCTAACACCTGAATTTTTCAGAATCAAATCGACAAGAAAATTCTACGGTCAGCAAACAAACACAAATGACAAATAAGTTGTGTCGCAAGATTTCAAAACTTTGAAAGAGAGTAATTTGCATTGCAAAACTACCACAATATCAAATGGAATGCAATAATCTCTTTATCAATTACAATCAAAAGAGTCAAACGTAATTACCAGCATAAATTAAGGAAAAGACATGCTGCAAAACTATATCAGCTTCTCCTTCATTATATAACGAGCCAGTCCCAGCCGGATCTAGATGCTCTTCGCAGCCAACTGATAGACTTCCGTACGGCATTCGAGTATCAAGCAGTAGCAGAGGGCACTGTGTTATCCATGTAGGCTGCAACACATCAAGTAATAAGAATTAGCTTATGAAAACAATTTGATTTGATTTTATGTTTTGTTTTAGAAATAACTAATACAACAGGGCCCAAGATATAAATCGGAGCCTTCACTTGACAAAGAATATGAAGATATCAATTAGGAGCATTATACCTTCACAAAAGGAGAATCTACAAGAAGATGAGAAAAAACAGTCTTTGAGGACTTCAACAATCCACCATACATCTCCTTTGAAGCCCAACTTGCAATGGCATCATTCATACGGTATTGTGTCGTTAAGCTAGTAGTGAGAATCCCTTCATGCAAAGTTGCAGCTCTCTCCAATAGCGATATTCCTAAACCACCTTCTAATGCTTTTCTAGAAAATATCACAGGAGCTAGTTGGCATTGATCACCGGCAAGAATACATCGTTTTGCCTGCAATATAGGTATCCAGCAAGACGGTTCAATTGCCTGTCCAGCTTCATCTATGACAACTAGGTCAAAAGCATCTAGCTTTCGAATAAAAGGATCAGCTGCTCCGGTATTGGTGGCAAGCACAACCTGAGCACTAGATAGAACTTCATTTATCATCAGCTTTTCCTTTTTCTTTAGCGACTTTCCAAGCTGTTTCAGAAGTTGCCGTATGCCTGCAGCTAATGAATCATCCTTTAAACAATGTCTTAAATCTTTCCTTAGATCAGACTTCTTCCTTTCGTACTCTTCGCGAAAACTTGCAAGCTTCCCATTTACAATTTCTCCCAAAGACTTTGACGCTACTGTTTTTGATATACGGGCTGGGTTTCCAACTCGCACGATAGTTATTCCAACATTTGAAAGCTTTTCAACCATATTATCAACAGCCGCATTAGTAGGTGCTGTAACAAGAACCCTTTCGCCTTGCTCAACGGCACTTGCTATAAGTTGCTTGAGCAAACCGGTCTTGCCCGTACCAGGAGGTCCTTGGATAACCAATAGTGGCCTCTTCTTATTCAAACCCAATGCAATTGCTCTCTGCTGAGATTTATCAAAGGATTCACTTCCTAATACTCCATTTATTTTTTCTTCTTCCCAGTCAACCAGATTATTCTTCTCAAGCCATGCAGCATCTTCCGCGTCTCCAAATAGAGTTGCAATAACAGAAATTGATGGATTTTTCTTCCGCAAACCGTTCTTCTGTAGCATCATTAGTGCTTCACAGTTGCGCTGGAAACACATCAAAAGAAGCTTCTTAAGTACATATTACATATACGCAGAAGAATCTTATTTGAACTGTAAGACATTATGAATAGTTTTGTGACATGATTGAATTGAATACCTCATAAGTAAGTGTATCAGCCAGTCCTTGAATACGGTCAATGCGCACATTTTTCCCAACTAGTTTAGAGAAAGAAGAATCACCATGGCGTAGCTCAAGAGAAACAGTAATACTATAACCATCATCACCAAGATTGTCTACAACTCCTTGCATGCAAGAAGTTGTAACTGCGCCCTTGCTGTCGCAAGTTCTCACACAAACCATTTCTCCAGGTGAAAGAGTAGTAGGCGGCAGTCGGTGGTTGCCTTCAATCTTGAATAACACCAAATGCATTCCCCCCAATCCTGTTTAAACAGTTCACATTGATCATACTAGATAACTAGGTTTCCCAAATACTTGAATTGAAAAGGAAAGTGGAAAAAAATAAAGAAAATACCTGTAGAGGTACTGATGGCATTTAAATTACAAATGGTGTCACAGAGTTCCTGCTGAGGCTGGCTATGGCTAACCAAGAATTCAATTGGTTTTGACGGATCAGAAGCATCATCCGGTCTAGGAACAGCATCCAATTCCTCCTGAGTAAACTCCAATTCAACATCCCTTTCAATATTGAGCAGTTCTGACATGTTGTTGGTGAATTCGTCTATCCTCTTCTGTATCGCTTTGACCCTTTCTATGTCCATTCCTAAAACTCCTTGGACCGTCTTAGGCGGTGTTATCTTCCTCGCAACTGCTCTGTGCTGAGCTGTAATTAAACCATTCTCAATCTTAACCCGTTGTTGAAACAACATAATTACTATATACTATTAACAACACCTAAGTTTCTTTTCATGTCTACTTTTATAACATCACTCAGACACTTACACAAGTACTTATATTATAACATAAGTCAAAATATACGCTAAATAAGCTCTTCCAAACACACCCTTAACCTCTCCATGCATGTTGTTTTATTACATGAACTAATAAAAAGCTAAAGCATGTCAAATAAATAGAACATGTTGATGATATGATAAAAAGGAAAAGAAAAGAAAAACCTGAATTAGCAAGTTCCTTAAGCAATTTCCAAGACTGAGTTTCACGCCAATCCTCAAACAACGATTTACTCTGCATATCTTGAAGAACATCACGTAACTCTCTCTGAAAGTGATCAAAGAGAGTAGGATAATGAGTACAAGCTTTCAGACACATAACTTCAAGCCCAAGAGGCATAGGAATTGCATTCAAATAAGGTTGAGCTTGAATAACAAAAGTAAGACCAGGTCCCATTCTCTGTTTCATCTCAGAAAATTCCAAATCTTCAACTAACTCGGCAGAAGCAATATCAAAAGCCATAGCTTTCATACTCTCACGAATCCAACTCACAACACTTTTTCCAACTTCTTTCCACCCAATTGGGTCACCAGTATTCTCATGAACATAAACACTGGGTATTGGAATTTCAATTTCCCTCTGTTGTTGTCGTGGTTGTTCTTCCACTGCGACACCATTTCTTCTTCTCCTTCTTCTTCTTTTTGTGCTGCTTGGAAGCTTGGTTTCGTTACTGTTTGTGACGCTTTGAATAACACGGTTATGGGTTTTCATAGAAGTTTTGCACATGATTGTATTAACATTGTTACGTGTTAATAAACAGAATGACCCAAATGAAGAAGATGAAGCAAGTTTGGATTTTGATGGGATTCTACCGCAGAAGAAGCAAGTTGAGGTTGCTTCCATTGCTGCAGTTCAAATTTGAGATTTTTTGAGATTTTTGTTATTCTTAAAGGATGTTGTAGAGAAAGACAGGGTTTTGAAACATGTAAAAAACCAGACCGAACCGGTGGGTTGGACCGGTGGAACCAGAAAACATGTGGATTGAAATTATTTAACCACAATTTTGGGTTAAATAAAAGTCAAATATTAAAATAAATAAATAAAAAACATTGGTTTTAAAATTGAACAGCAATGTGGAGGATCTGAGGTGATAAAGGAAAGTGAATGAATATTAAGATTCCTTTTTTTGTTGTTGCATGGATAGAAGAAGAAAAAAAGAGGGACAAGTGTAAGGAAAGGTTTTGTGATGAAAAGGATGGATTGGGTACAACGTGGACAAACCATGATCTGAGGTTCTTCATGTCATTGGTTGCTTCGATTTTGTTGCAATAGTATGCTTTCAAACCTTTCCATATGATTCTTGGTCACGTGGTTCTTTCCTATCCCCATCTTCATTTCTATGTTTTATTTACTATTTATTATTAAATATAATACATAATACACAATTTCTTAATCTTTCACTACAATATAAGAACTCGGGTTAAAATTTGGGTTTTAAAGTTACTTGAAAAATAGTGCGCGCAAAAGGTTTTCGTATGGATTGACAAACATTGTCTATACGAACTTAGTTATTGAAATTCGGATATACAAAGTCAATTATGGAATGACAAACACAATAATCGTATTTAACCTTTAATGGAGTACCACGTTATTATTCGTTTAAACCTATTGATCTGGTAATGTTATTTCCAATAATAATGAGCAAAAATATTGAACAATGCAATTTATCAAATACTTAGTGTGCGAACGAATTTTCAGAATTTCCTTTGTGTTGTTATTGATATGAAAACCACTTACAATCAAAAGTGATTATAAGCTAATCAACAATCAAGTTAAAACAAAAAGATCACAGAAAAATTCTTACGAGTCGATCGATTGATCAATACTATTTGACAAATTGCATAATGAATAATAAACCAAGTAAAGAGATAATAGAGAAATCGACACGAGGATTTGCTTACGCAGTTCCCCACTTTCGTCCTCGCGCGTGGGTACGTGTGCGCCTAATTTCCAATATGGAATTAGGATACTTTCTTATTATGCAAAAAGTCGATGTACAAGAGAAATGTTCAATAGCAACCATACAAACACCACCGGTTTTGATGTTGATTCAACCCCTTCTCTTCTTTTGATCTTGAAAAAGACCAAGAAAAAAATGAATGCCAATTGGCTTGTCGATATTGCTACTCCTTTGCATTCTTTATCTGCAAGTTTTCGCGCACGATAAATTGCACCGATTATTCCATAAGATTTCAATTCGATTCGCCGTTCTCCGTTACTTCATTTGCATTCTTTATCTCCAAAGGATCCTTTGCGTACTTTATCTCCAAAGGCTTTCACAACGTCGAAATCCTCTCTTGAACGTCTTGCACGAAAACCCCCAAATCTACACACGACCTTGGAGGGCAAACCCGCGGTTTTTTTGGATGAAGACCCCTACAAATCTCAACCCGATATTCTCGGCTACACAAGAACCTAATCGGACTTTATCAGGCCTTCACCTAGTTGGCACCCCAACAAAAGATTATTATGTGTGATTTGTCAGTGTGTAGACATAGGAAGGAGGTTGAAGATGATGAGCAAATGCAGGCTAATTTTATGGTATCACCGGTTTGGAATGAAGCATGAATGATGTATTTCATGATTGTGGACAATTTTGAAGTGGTTTTTGATGATTCCTAAGATCTCTAATGCAAGGGTGCCACACAAACTCAGAGATACCGTCCGCACAGAAATACTAAGTTTTCTTATAGTTTTGACATCATACAAAACATCTAACGGAGAAGTTGCACTCACATACTCCCCCTTTTTGATGATGGCAAAACTTGCAACAAGGCATTTCATGTTGATATCAAATGCTCCCCCTGACTTTTCGCTTTCCTTCTTCATCTCGCATATTCTTTTCCCCCTTTGAAAACATCAAAAAGAAGAAAAGCAAATCGTGAGAAATATCATATTCCAATACAAATAGTAATATATCACTCAGAGGCGTTTTTGCACAGAAGAGCAAAAATCACATATCCCTATATATATGAAATGAAGCAAAATTGATAAATAACCATCATTACAAATCAAGTAACACAAAGTAGAAGTAAATAAATAAATCAATGCAAGAGAAAACTCATCAAATTGCTATAATTGTGTCACACATATCAAACATATCATAAAGGAACTCTCGATGCCGCACACGCATGTGCCTAGCATAGCGACAAGAACATGTCACTACTCAATCCAAGATGAGAACGTTATCATAACACGAGACGTGCAACAACAATAACAATTTATGCAATTAGCAAGCTTAAATACAATAAACAAAATGAGTCACGTGCTTATACACTTAATAATAAACTTATAAAATGTGAAAGAGTTAATACATGAAGTCACTATAAGTATATACATTGAGAACACACAATAGTTATCAATCAAAATTTTGGAAATGAACATTCATGGTTTTCATCATTTGAGAAAATATCAAGCATCTTTAACCAACAAATAACATGCATTAAGCAAAGTCTTACTTTCAAGGAGAAATTGAAACAATACTACCTCACTCTTGATGGGATTAACGTTGCACTCACATGATGTTAAAAGCTCAAAATGAAACGTTAGAGCAATAGTATAAAGTGCAAGAAAGTAGTTTAACTCCCCCATGAGACTCATTTCAAACTCTCCTTGCATAAGCTTAAAGAACCCTTTTGTGGTGTCACCAATAATATTGTCAATTGGATGATCCATGGAGGTTTTCCACTCCAATGGAAGACCATCATTCTCTTGTTGACTTTCATCATCTTCCTTTTCATGGTTGTCATCTTCCTCCTTCTCAATGTCCACCGCTTTAGGTTGATCATTCCCTTTTTTGATTTCATTGAGCATGTATTTCGTAGATGCACATACACCTTCAAAAGAAATACCTTTCCCAACATTACTTAGGCAAGACTCGTCAAAGGTAACATGAATCGACTTTTGTGCCGGCACATACTGAACCAGTTTTGAAACAAAGTTGAAAAATGAATTTATGTGTCGGCACATAAGACTTATGTGCTGGCCTATACTGATTCAAAATCAACAAAATTTAAATGACTTTATTTCAGGCCGACCTGACTGTATCATGTGTCGAAACATGCTTGTAGGTTTGTAGAGAAACACCAAGAGACACAATTTTCATATTTGAAGACATGTGACTTGACTCATGTATGACTGAAAAAGACTTATATGTATGTTTTGAACAATATTTGTTAAGGCTATGTATTTGAACAATTTAGAAAAACAAGCATGCGTAGATAAGGAATAAAAGGCAAAAACATACATATTTGCATAATTTGATCTAGGTCACTATAAGCATGTAAATTTAAATAATCACAAATTCATTATAATTTTTTGAAAGTAAACACAAGAACAAATAACATCCAGCATGTATTTGAAATATCTTTAAATAAAATTGGATAAAAGATATAGCTTAATTTTATAAAGAAAATAAAACGATACAACTTCACCGTACAAACAGAGTATGCACGAGAACTTCACGAGAAGCTCTAGAACAAGAGCTTTAACAAATGCCAACTGTACCATCAATAAAATATTTTCAACACATATTCATTCATCTTCACCTTTCTAAGTTGTCTCAATATCTTTTACCAAAGGGCTTTCTTTTTTATGCTTCTAGAAAACACATTCCTTTTTCTTGACACTAAGTCAGTTTAATTTGAACGTGTTATCTAGAAAATGTCTTGATCTTACTATAAATGAAGCCCTACAACTTCTTCATAGATTCAAGACACTTTTTCATGCAAAATCAACAAGATAAACTAGGTACCCAATCTTTGTTGAGTCCTTGAGGGTGAGTAACACAATTGTTGCACTTAGGTGACTATTGAGAAATGCCATTATGGATTGAAAATCTCTTAAATTTGCATTTGAGAATAGTATGACCTTTCATGCAACAGTAGTAACAAGTTATATTTTGAGAAATATCATGTTTGTTATTCAAGTATTTATGATACTTTTTGACAAACAAACTCATCTCTTTGTCCTTCGAAACATATTTGTTGCTACCATCACTATCATAAAGATGCTCATCCTTTGAGGATATTGAACTTGAAGCCCTAAGAGCTTTAGGCTTAGTTCCTTCCTCCTTGTAGGTGTCTTTCTCATTTTTATTCTTTTTCTCAAGCTTCTTTTCATGTTTTTCCAAGCAAGCGAGTTCTTGTTTGTGTTCTTCTAACTTTCCGAACAAGGTGATGAGATCAAATGTTGTAAGATCGTTAGCTTCCTTGATGGCCGTAAACTTCAGTTTCCAATTCCTAGTAAGACATCTCAAAACCTTGTTAGTAGCAATAGCATTGGAAATAAGATTACCTAGCAAGTTTAAACGATTAATAAGATGTGAGAACCGCTTTTGCATTTGAGCAATGGTTTCACCATGCTTCACGCGAAAGAGTTTGAATTATTGATTAAGTGTGTTGATCCGGGATTATTTGACCTCATTAGTTCCCTCATGGGCAACTTGTAGAGTATCCTACATAGCCTTAGCGATCGCACAATGAGAAACAAGATAAAACTCATGGCCACCAAGCGCGGATATCAAGATGTTTTTTGCTTTTCAATCGTATGGCCACTTCTTATTATCTTTCTCATTCTATAGTCCTTCGGGCTTAAGTAAGATAACATCATTCATAACATGTGTGATTGATGTATGTCCATTTTTAATAACCTCCCAAACAGCTTTATCATAAGAGTTCACATGAATTTGCATACAAGCTTTCCAATGACCATAGCTTTCTCCTGTAAATATTAGGGATCTTTTATAATCCCCTTTAGGTTCGTAAGCCATTTTCTAATAGGCGTTCCAAAGAACGGAATCAACCAGGCTCTGATACCACTTGTTAGACGACGACGACTTGTCT